TCAGCTATCGGAGTCCGGGAAGGAGCACGTCTCCCTTCACATCAGGCAGTTAATAGAGGTTATGAAGACGCATACATGTTCTCTGCTGCATTTGGGATAAACCCTCAGCTCCCATCACTCGATAGCAGCGACGGCAGAGGAGGAGCCGTAACACCAAGACAAAGCAGAACCTCACCTGCGTTTAGGCAGTGGGCTTTCTTCTTCTTGTCCTCATGTCCTCTTCTTTCGGACTGTGTCGGAAAACAGCCTTACCAAAGTAGGTTTTCTTTATAATGAGAGGGAGTAAAGACTTAAGCAAATTGTTTTTATTTTACTTAGGTAGCTAAAGCAAGATGAACTGATTTATGCGAGTGTTAAATAGGGATGAGTCTTATTTTGTTATAAAGAAATGCAATATTTCAAACTGTCAGCAGAATATAGACATTAATAAATCAGCCTTTAGAATCAGCACATTTTAAAATTAACTCAGTTTTCAAGCAAGCATCTTAATGCCCATGGGTTTAGGATGCTTCAGCGTGCAGGAGCTCATAAGGGTATAAATCATGAATTTACCAATGTGAATTTTATCCATTATGAATGATATGTAGTAGTTTGATAAATGTGATTTGAAGGCTGGAATAATAACTAAAAACCAAGGGAAAATGTCTGGAGGTCGTTATTGTGGCGTAATCTGTGATTTCACCAAGACTGTGACTTTCTCTTGCTCCAGGTTTACGTGCACTCCTACGAGGTTCCTCTGAGGTGTCTTCTCAAATAAATTTCTTTCAAACTGGAAGTGAATAAAGATTTGTTTCTTTTCTTAAATCTGAAAACACACTTGCTAGAATAAATCCATAGTTTTAAGGATCCAAGCATAGAAAATCAAAATTACCATTTGTATTTCTTCAACTCACTCTTTGTCCTTTTTGTACGTATCTCAACTGAAAAACAAAACATACAATTTGGGTTTTGAAAATACAGTGATTGATTGGAGAGAAATGCAGTCTAAAAGTGAAACTCTTTTTTTTTTTATCATTTTGATATTTTTCTTCCTTTTGCAGGTAACATCTGGTCATGGGAGGAAATCACACGCAGACTAAATTCGTCCTTTTGGGAATTACAGACAGTCCATCTGTGCAGGTCCCTCTTTTTGGGTTGTTCCTATTGATTTACATTGTCACTTTGGTGGGGAACCTTGGGATTATGGTCTTGTTTTGGGTGGTTCCCAGCCTCCACACTCCCATGTACTTCTTCCTCACCCATCTGTCTTTCGCTGATATCTGCTATTCCACAGTCATCTCCCCCAAAATGCTAGCAGACCTGTTATCGGAGAACAAAACCATTTCTTTCGCTGGCTGCGTGACTCAGTTCCATGGCTTTGCCTTCTTTGGGATTGCCGAGAGTCACCTCCTGGCTGTCATGGCCTATGACCGCTATGTAGCTATCTGCAACCCCCTGCTTTACGTGACGGTCATCTCCAACCGTGTTTGCCGGCAGCTGGTAGCATCGTCTTACCTCTTCGCCTTTCTCGGTGCCATTGTCTGCACAGGCTGCACATTTGGGGGTTCCTTCTGTGGACCCAACCAGATCGACCACTTCTTCTGCGACATCAGCCCCGTGTTCAAGCTGGAGTGCTCCGACACCCGCAGCAGCAAGATAGTCATCTTTGCCTTTGTCACCATAAACGTGGTGGGCACAAGCGGGGTCATTTTGCTCTCCTACATCAGCGTCCTCCGCACAGTCCTGAGGATGCGCTCAGCACAGAGCAGGTCCAGAGCCTTCAACACCTGCGCATCCCATTTGACAGCGGTTTCTTTATTCTACGGGACAATATCCTTCACGTACCTACAACCTGCGTCCAACCACCGCAGCCTGGATAAGGTGGCCTCCATCTTCTACACCGTGGTCACCCCCATGCTGAACCCATTCATCTACAGCCTGAGGAACAAGGAGGTGAAGGGTGCGCTGGTGAGGTGCGGGAGAAGGATGTTAAACCACTGCCAGCATAAAAGAGTTGTATCAGCTGGGAAATGAACGGTTTATCTGAAGTGAGAAAGCCTATGGTGCATTAAAACAATTGGTTTTTTTCCCTAATCCTCACGATTTTATGTAGGTTCTTCCACAGTTTCTGCACAAAAGTGAATTACAGTACTTAGCCCTGAGAAACAGAGCCCACAATCGCATCTTCCTTGGAAGGAAACCAGGAGGAGTGGGAGCCTCAAACTTTATTTCACCTTGCAGTCACCAGCCTGTAGGAAGAAGCTGCTCTGAGTTATTCCAGACTTCTCTTTCTCACAGGAGGCACAAATCATAGTTTTATTGATTTATAACTCTTTTTCACTGATAAATATGTATTTTTCTTGCAAGACTATTGACCTCATCCCTAAACTCCAATAAAATTCCTCACTGTTACCTGCAAGTTATTTATTATAGTTAAGCTGCTGGGGTGGGAGGGAACATTTTGGAAGAGTAGGTGTATTTTAAGATTTTCTTGCCAAAATAAAGTAAGCTAAAAGGCTTGAAAAGGTACGGTGCGTTTGTTTCTGACTTAAAAAGTGAAAAAGCTGGTGGGAGTCAGGATCTCAAGCTTTGAACATCCTTTGAGTATCAAGGGGAATCCCTCTCCAGGCTGCACACTTTGGCACATCTTCACTTAAAGGAAGAAAGTGTAGGCAATGTATTTAAAAATACAGGACAATGAACTGTGCTGAGACTGCCCAGTGTTAAGGACAATTTCTACACGGTGATAGCGTCAAGGGGGGCTGCCGTTTGTTTTAAGTGGTGTTCTACACTCGCCTTAAGTGCCACTTACTTAACTGGTGAGACAAACGGAATTACACCCGGAGATGTACATCAGTGTCCCATGTCCAAATGCCCAGCTCATAATAAAGCATGCTGAAAACCAAATGGCGTGTTTCATTTAAAAATTAAGCATGTCTCTAGTTTCCATAGTTGAAAGACAATCCTGAACACATAATCTGTGGGTAGCTGACAGCTGTCTGGGTCTGAAAAGAAGCCAAAACCCAGCAGTTCTGAAAATTATGGCTCATTAAAGAAGGCAGGGTACAGGAATGGCCACGGCACGGGGGAGAGGCCAGCGATCCTTCATCTTTACCTGGCAGGCACGTAAGAGAAAAAGCATCCTAATTTCTGCTCATCTTAATTCCAAAGGACATTTGTTGTTTCTTGAGTGCACTCTCATAAGCGTTTGCGATTGGGTGCAATTCTGCAACTTCCTTGCAAAATTCAGCAAAATTCAGGTTGGCTGGATAAGTTCAGCGTAGGGTCTTGTTCTTCCTCAGACACTTGATTTTGGTTGCCCCTTGCCTGTTGATGCCGCTCGGACACCTCAGGGTGATGTGATGAGCTCTGACTCCGCAGAGTTACGGACCCACGTGCCTTCTCTGCAGCGGGGAAATGCTGCAGCAGAAAAATATCTTTTCCTTAGCTGTCGTGAGTAGCGTGGGATTTAACTTATATTTGGAAAGTAGATGGATGGTGAACAGTCTCTTTTGTGTGCTCCGGCAAACAGCAGCGGGAGAGGAGACGTTGTCTTAGGTCTGGGGGAAAAGTGGTTTCCACCTGCAGCTGAATGAAGGAGCCGGAATCGCCGTAATTAAATGCTAAAGAGCTTGGCGAGACAGAGACTTTTGATATCAGATGATAGTTTCTTTCTTTTAAAATCTTCACCACACCTTGTTTTCTTCCTTCCATTTTGTTGGATATTTTTGCTTGTACTATACATATAGAATCATAGAAGCACAGAAAACCCAACCTGAACCTCAAAAGATCACCTGGTCCAACCTTTTGTGGGAAAGGGAGCGTAGATGAGAAATGTAATACACAGAGCTCATTGCTGCTCGATGAGTTACCCCACTCTGGATGTCCTTATTTCCTCTTGTTTTTAATAAAATTTCCAAAGCAGAGACAACTAAAATGCTCAAAGGTTTGCCCAGACTTGGTGTTACGTTCCTAAAAGAGGTCTGGATTGCCTTAGTCTTGTGTGTGGTGGATCCAATTCGGTGAACTTCCAAGAGGAACTTCAGTCTAAAGTGCAGGGGAGGTGGAATTGTAAACTCCCACAATATGAGAAACAGGCTTGGGTTTGGGGAATTTATTTTTTTTTTCCTACTACGAGCATCACTGCATTATTTTGCTCCTATCTTTGCAGAGATGGGATCTACGAAATGCAGAAACCCATGGCTGTAGACACAAACTTCCCACATGAAATATGTAATAGAGGTCCTCTCCGTAAGTGGTTCTGACACCTCAAAAAGCAAGCAACTTTTTTGGCAGGAAGAGCTGGAAATGTGCCTCTTTGCCTTGTGACTCAGGTGCGGTTAGATCAACCTGATCATTTTGGAAAGAGAAAATCGGATGCGCTGCAGATCATTCAAAACCTGGCCCATATTAACTTGAGCATTTAAGACTGTATTCATATAACCTAGCTTTATCTACCTAAAAATTAGTTACCAAATCTTTAGCTTTAGATACCTTATCTAGCTTTATCCTTTAGATAATAGAGAGCAATGCCTAACATAGGTGAGATAAATGCTGGTTTTTCCTGTGAAAAAAGGTATTTTGTTAAATAATTTCATTAATTTTCCTATACTTGTACAGGAAAGATTCATCGCCCTTTAACGATAAGGGAGCGAGGCCCTGAAAATACGAAGCGGTCATAAGGTAGGTTTTAAGCGATAAACTGGGAGATGCCGACGGCTGTGGAAGAGCATTTTGACAGGGCTATGAAGGAGCCTGCAGCTGATGTCCAGTGTACATCCGAAAAGACCAAGAGGGAGGGAAAAAAAGCTACATGTAATAAAGTACGGAAGATTAATTAGACTGTCTGCGGTATCTGGTGACTGGCACAAGCCAGTAGTAGAAAGAAAGCAAGACTTGGAAATGTTTCCTAAACAAATCTGGAAGCCTAAGCAATAGGACGGGGAAACAAAAATCTTTGGCGTCAAGGGAAGCTATGGCATCCTCCATCACAAAACCAGCAAATAAATATCGTGCCAAAGCTACTTCCATGTGACAAACTCCCTCAGGGCCTTCTTGACCTCCCTGGTCCTGAGGCTATAGATCAGGGGGTTCAGCATGGGCACCCCCAGCGAGTAAAACATAGCAAAGATCTTGTCCGTGCTCAGGGTGATGCTGAACGTTGGTCGGAAGTTCAGGGCAAGGATAGACCCATGGAAGATGCTGACTCCAGCCAGGTGAGAGGTGCAAATGGAGAAGGCTTTGTGCCTTCTGATGGTCACCGTCTCCACCAGCCCCCCAAGGCCGAATATCAGACTCCTGTTGACGTGGGTGTTGGAGCAGGAGAGCGCTAGAACAGGTATGAGGTCACAGTAGAAATGGTCGACCTCGGTTGGCAGGCAGAAAGGCAAGCTGAAGGCGAAGTTCGTGTGCGCCGAAGAGTGCAGCAGGCCGAGCACGTACGAACCGGCCACCAGCAGGATGCAGACCCCGTGAGACATGATGGACGGGTAAAGCAAGGGGTTGCAAATGGCCGTGTAGCGGTCGTACGCCATCGCAGCCAGAAGGAAGCACTCAGTGGTCCCAAAAGCTATGAAAAAAAAAGCTAGATGGCACAACTGGCTAGAGAGATTGTTTTTTTCTCCGTCAGAAAGTTCATTAGTGTCCTTGACGCTACCACCGATGAGTAGCAAGCATCTAGGAGAGATAAATTGCTAAGGAAGAAGTACATGGGTGACCGAAGGTGACCACTGCTCCTGATCAGCACAACCATGCCCAGGTTCCCTGCCAGCGGGATGAAGTACGTGAGGAGGAACAGGACAAATAAAGGCACTTGTAGTCCTGGGTTGTCTGTCAGTCCCACAAGAGTCAATTCTGTAACTTGCTCGGTTTGATTTTCCTCAGCCATCTCCTCCAAAACCACTGTAAGTTATGTTCACAGAGCCATAACAAAAACAATAAACTAATGGAGAGACTCAGCACCTAAAAAGACCAACAATCCCCACTGCCTGTACTGGCTAATGCCCTCAATATCAGAGATGTGTTTAATTTTCTATCAATATTCATCAAAAAACAATTTGGCAAGACAATGGAAAGTTTATTTTGGTATCAGTTACTCTGCCAAGTGTTCAATTTCTCATTCATTCTGGTACACGTATATTTTTATCTCTTACACACTTATTTTATCTATTTATCTATTTATCATAGTACATATCACATTTCAGTGTAACTTTCCCAAGTTCCAACAAAAAAGAGTAAAAGAAAGGGTTCAGTGATTCCTCTACAAATTACTTATATCAATAACAAAAACAGGCTTTTCACAGAATTTGGACTACAATATAACCTTTCAAATTTTAGGAAGTCTTCCCAGTGGAGTTTTTTTTTTTAAGATTATTTTGCTTGCATCACTGCAGAGAGAAAAGATGAAAATCGCCCTTACTCTTCCATAACTTTTCATTTCCTTTGCTAGTTTGAGGTTACGCTTTTACAGAGTGTACGGAAATGATGCGGTGCCATCATTTGGGAGAAAAGAAACCATTAAAAAAAAAAAGACGGCACGACAAATCTTTGCCTTGATAACACCCTCCTCTACGCCTCCTCATTCTAAAATTCATACTTAGGAGTTTTAAATACATGGAAGTACGCCAATGCCCCCTGACTTTTTATCACAGAAATCGGTGACAAATAGGGAGCAGCCCCCCACAGTTCACAGTGGTCCAGAAGCAGCCGCTGTGACACAAATATATATTTAAAATAAACCAAGAAAAGAGCTAAGAAGATTGCCAGGTAAACCAGCCCACTTTTAGTCTAAGATCATGGAAAACACTGTGCTGCTCGTAGGGTTTCTGCCGCTGTAACTGCATCTCTTTAGAGGAATGAGTACAGCTTTCCCATCAGGAAAATCCGCAGGTACGTCAGTGTAAAACTGGTGTTAGAAAGCCTGGTTTATATTCATAATGGAAAATCAAATAAACTGTGTACCAAGTGCACGGGATTTAGCAAAATTACTCATAATGGAATTCCCCAGTGTTGCAGAGATAAAGATGTCTTATAACTGGTATTTTATCTGGTAACTGGTGTTACAACCTTCAAAAAATTACAACTGGTATTATAACCTTCAAAAAATTCATGTGCGGTGTGATTTTCCTTCTCCTCTTGTTCTATTGCTCTTGCACGAAGAGACTGGCTCGTCCTGGTTTGTCGAGTAAAGATACAACTGAGAGCAATCACATTCCTCTCTACTGACCCCGTCTCTGGAGGAGGAAGCTGTTCTCCTTCCCTCTTGCTCTCTGCAAGGAATTATATATTATATTCTGCAAGGAGATCATAAATCCCCTTAAAATTATGTATTACCTTAAAGTTTCAGCTATAAAACAAATCTGGGTGTCCTCTTTTCCTTACCAGTTGAAGTCTTGCTTCTTACTTCTTCCTTACTTCGCATTAATTCATGACAAACTGCGAGGACACTTATATGTTCGGTCTGTCCAGCCTGCGTGGTTTAATTGCTCCTTAACTCTTGTCTCTAGTCCATCGAGACTTTGGAGGTGCTTTTTTGGAAAACTTCCTTTGGGAGAAATGCAATTATTTTTGTATTCGTTTGTCAAACATATATATATATGTAAAATCTCTCTATACATATATATATGTAAGACACAGGAACATTAAAATAAAATAAAATAAAATAAAATA